TTATGCTATGTAACTGGAAACATGTAACGCATATTAAATGGGTGTTATCGCAGTTTGGCTGCGAAAGTACACTTTCCACTGGGTTCTGTTATTGGAAAGATGGATATAGTTTATTATTATTATTATTATTCTGTAACCAGTCAGTCCTGTCTAGGAGGCTTAATGGAGGAGACCAGAAACTTGCGCTTTAATTGAAATTTACAAAAGCTAGTTACCAGTTTTTCATTTTAGGTTTGTGATTTCCTTTTTTAGCCCGGAATTTAGTACCCTTGTGTTCCTGGAAGCAATTTTGGGATCCTTTAGTATATTTTAAGACGGTGGGAACTTTTTATCCATAAAAGAAAAGGTGAAACCTTATTGGTTGGTAGTGGTAACAACTTTTTTTTTATTTCTGCTTTCCAGTTTTCATAAACTATTCATTAACTTTTTTTCTTTAAGCCAAGTAGTTAATATGAAATGATATTGATCATTTGGCCTCAACTGTATGTCTACACAGCCCCCTGATCAGTTTGATAAAGGCGTTGTCCTTCCATTCTGATGGCTAACTACCTTAAAGCAATACTGCAGCTAAATTTTACAAGATAACATGTTAAAGGAATGCAATGTGTTATTTTGTTCAATGAAATGATTGCCGACACCCTTTTGTGCTCCTTATTTTGATGGATTTTGTTCTAGCACATGCTTAATCTAGGTCTAACCACTTGCTGCCTGGAGCAATTTCTTAATATTTGCACACATGATTAATTTTTTGGCTAGAAAATGGCCAAAAACCCTTAACAATTATATTTTCTGACAGCAGAGGGCCTGTAGAATTGCTAGTTGCAATTTTTATGTTTCAAATGTTTATCAAACCAGTATTTTTAGGATAAAATACAGTAAATGAAATTTAGTGCAAAGAAACAATACCAAATTTGGTAAAATATAAAAGACAGGGTCATGTCGAGTAGGAGAGACTGTTGTGCCTCTGCATTCCTACGTTGGATCCCCCTGGCAGTGAGGACACAGACCACTGCAGCTGGCACCAGTGGGGAGGAGAGACTGCTGTGCCTCTGCATTCCTCCACTGACTAACCCCTCCCCCCGGTGCCTCCACTTCTGCCCTGTTCCTCCTCTGCCATGCTTATGCTCTCCCTCAGTTCCTCCTCTGCTCCCCCCCTGTTTCTCCTCTGCTGCTCTGTTTCCTTCTCTGCTGGCCCTGTGCCACCGTTTCTCAGCTGCTCCCCCGTGCCCCCTTTTCTGCCGGCAGTATAAAGCTGGCGTCAAGTACCCATCTAGCATCTGGGAGCAATAGCCAGCCTGCTATTAGCTATTTTAAGTTGCAGTAGCAGGCTGGCAATTGCACCCACCCACTGCCTGCTGTCAATCTGCAGAGGAGGACCTGAAGGAGAACTTTTTCCTGGTCATGATCCGCCTCCCGGCTTCCTAATAATCCGTAGTTCAAACTTCACATCTACGGGCAAAACTGCTGGACATCTTCAGATGTCGAAAGGGAAGTAAGCATGATGTGTCTTTCATCTGCTGCATTGTTTCCTTTGTTGACCACTGCGTCTATGGTCCTCAACTTTGCCCGTTTGTTTGTGCTTCAGCACATCTTGAAACTCCAGTCTGCTTTGAAATCTTTGCCTGGGAGAGATATTGAGCACAACAACAAGACACAAGGTATTTATACTGCTTCAGCAGTCTTGCTATGGTGTAAGACCCGTGCCATGAACCACAACCTCACCTTTAGTAGCACAGTTTGGCTGTTCCTCATCCAGTTTAAGCCTCCTACACAGCTTTTTTGTTTCAGTTAGGGCCCGTTCACAACCTATTCTGGCCAGAACGCACTGCCTCGCTTTGCGGCTGGCTCACTTTTTTGTGAGGCAGGAGGGGGCGTGGGGGGCCATTGAAGTGAATGGCACAGTAGCCACGCCCTCCGGCCGCAATGCGATTGGCCGCATGGGATCGCAAGGCACATTATGACAAAATAGTGCTTGCAGCATTTTGACCGGACAGCAGGCATAATGTGCCTTGTGATCCTTTGCGGCCGGAGGGTGTGGCTACGGTGCCATTCACTTCAATGGCCCGCCACGGTCTGTTGCATGTTTTCCATCTGACCATATAAAATCTGCAGATAATCTATAGGTGGGGCCAGCTTAAGAATTGATGTTGGTCTGAAGCCAAAGGGTAGTCACACCAAATATTTGATTTAAATTTTTATTCTGTTCACTAACTTTGCATTTTGTAAATTGATAAAAAATATATATATTTCTGAAAGCATTCTTACTTTTTACCTCATTTTTTCACACCTGCCTAAAACTTTTGCACAGTACTGTATATACTCTGAAAGCAAAGACCCTGTAGAATAAAATGGTAGCAGTTGCAAAATTACATTGCACGATATTAACAACTCTTTATCAAACCCAAAATTTTTGTAAATTTTAGTGCCCTAAAACCAAATATAATACCCATTTTGTGTATTTTTTTGTGTAAAATACAAAAGATGAGGTTGCAACAAGTAAATAGATGCCAACATTAAAATTTGCATGTATCCCATATTTTCCATAGGTGATGCTTTAACCACTTGAAGTCCATGGTGTTAAACCCCCTTCCGGGACATTTTTCAGTATTCAGCGCTGCAGTACTTTGACTGACACTTTATTCCGTCATGCAACGCTGTATGGAAATGAATTTTATACAATTTTTTAGTGACATATAGAGCTTTCTTTTGGTGGTATTTAATCATCACTGGGGTTTTATTTTTTTACTATAGTAAGGAAAAATTACAGAAAACGTAAAAAAGAGAACTGGTTCCCCTATATTAAATTATAAAACCTTTATTATTACCCAATTTTTTAGTAAAATATAAGAGACGGGGTCACGTCGGGTAAAAACACACCAAACATGTCAAGCCTTAAAATTGAGCGCACGCACAAAACCTCATACTACAATACCCAAAGTGGGCCATAGGCGACGCTTTAAAAGCTTTTACCGCTCGTCAGTTTAGTGTTATCAGTGATTGATGGCCCTAAAATGATTGCTCTCACTCCGACGTTTGCGGCGATATGTAACATGTGTAGCGCAATTGTTGTTTTCGCGTGCTGATACATATTTATGTTTATATGTGTGTGAATGTGGGGGTGGGAGACTTAGAAAATTTTGGTTTTTTTTTTACTTTTTTTTTTATATGTGACTTATTTTATTTTTACTTTTTTTTTATATTTATTTTTTTTACACTTATTGTTATTGCTGTTACATGGGGGGATAACGATCCCCCTATATAATAGCAAAGCCACACTGACAGGTCATCTTTATGGAGGCATTAGGTGTCTCTAGGACCCCTAATGTCACCTGGGGACCCCAAAAAGAAGCTGATGTAGCAGAGATCCGCTTTATCAGCTTCTTCTCTCTGGCTATAGCAGCCAGATGACTGACAGGTGAATGCGGAAGTGATGTAATACACAGCACTCCTGCATTGCCCATACGGAGGGAGATCAGCAAGGAGGAAGAAGATGCTGATCGCCGTCCCGGGCCGCTGATGGGATAGCGGATCCCGGCGATTTGAAGGTGAGGGGTCAGGAGTGGCGGCGGCACTCGGGGGGTGTTGCGCCAGATCAAATCAGCGGCGGCTATAGAGGTCGCTGATCGGTTGTATGAGAAACAGCCGGTAACGGTTATGCTGAAAGTACGGGCTTTTTCTGCCCGCACGCTTTGGGGCGCGCGCAAGCAGGAAATAAATGCCGTCTGGAGACGGCAACCCGCAAATGGGAGTCTGCCGTCTGTCCGTTTTTTCTCAACGGGCGGACGGCAGGAGGTTAACAGGCTGTACAGGCCATCAGTTTAGCGATATTTGTAGGTATTGACCGTAGAATTATTGCTCTCTCTGGCACACAAGGCGATACCTAACAACATGTAGCACGATTATCATTTTCGTATATTTTTCAGTTAATTTGCTTGAGGGGACTTTACATTTATTTTTTAAAACTTTTTTTTCCCTCTGAATTGCTATCACATAGGCACACAAGCACAGGTGGTAGCATACTGGTGGTGACAGGTTGTTTGTTTTTAAGGTGACAGGGGTCTATTAGACCCCCTAGTGTCACCTTTTCACTCCAAAAAAAAAAGAACCTATTGTAGATTATGCCCCACTGAGGGCTAAGTAATACGATCTGCCTTGCTTCTGGCCCCATTCAGCGTTGAGAAGATCGGCGAACGGATTTTTGGCAGAGGGTAAAGGACTATTCACCAGTATTGGCTGTGGTCTTCCTGCAGCTGATATTTTCCCCATTAGGCCCAGTTCACACCTGAGCGTGAACGCGCGGTATAACGCGCAACAGGTGAAAACCCATGTTTGCCTATGGGCTTAGTTCTCACCTGCGCGTTTTACCGCACGGTAAAACGCCATACGCCCAAAGAAGTACAGGAGCTTCTTTGGGGCGTATTAACGCACGTATCCGGCTGTATCCATAAGCATACAGCTGGATACCCCCTCGGAAACTCGCGTTTGTCACGCGTTTCTTTTACCGCAAGTCGCGGTAAGAAACGGGTGGCAAACGCGAGTTTCCAATACGCTAAGGTGTAAACCCAGCGTTACTGTCTGACCTGATCTGCACGGTCTTTGTGTGAAGACGGCCTTCTTGGTAGAGGTAGGATTTTGCTTTCTCATGTCGGGGCTTTCAGCATGGAGAACGGTTAGCAGCATGGTAATGACATCACCAGCCCTCATTTAGTAGTAGGCATAGGGGTGCATATCTGGAAGTACACTGCTATTTTTTAGGGGAAATTCAAAAGGTGTGTTTGGGGTTTTTTGTTTCCTCCTCGGGGTACTGCTTGGGCACAATTAACATTTCTAAATGTTCCCATAAAATAGCAAATCTTCACTCTCTTAAGTTCCGGTCCATTTTCAGAATGGAAGTTAGCTGTTGATATTTATATATTTGGTATGAGGAGATACAACTGTAGTTTTCATATATGTGAACAGTGTAGTTGCTGATGACTAAAACTGTTATTTCCTTTTTTAAGGCAAGCAGAGTATGGAAGAGATTCTGACCAATCTAAAGCTGTTGGACCCAGATGAGCTGAGAGAGGAGATACAGAAAGCTGGATTGCACTGTGGGCCTATTACTTCAACCACTCGATCAACATTTGAGAGAAAACTAGCTCGAACTTTACTGGAACAACAAGGTGTTAATTTAGAGGCTTTAAATTCAAATGTGGGTACACCTGCTGCTGACTATACTCAAAACACACAACGTTTCCAGGCGACTCATTGCTCTGAAGATCGGGAATTTGGATATAATGTCGGCTTAAACCCTCCTGTTGAGGAAGCTTCATCATTGCATCACAATGTAGCTTCTTTGAACCTATTGGATCGAGCTTGTGTTGCCAACCAGATACATTCTAATGCTCCCCCTGTATTTTATGCTGTTTGTCCATTGTATGAAGACACTCTGACTAAAAATGGTAAGCCTTTATTTTATCCTGTATAACCTTCATTATTACATTATTACAAGGCTACTAAATTTAAACATGTTCACATTGGAGGTGAGGAGATTAAGGGGGGATATGATCTCCATGTACAAGATGTTCAATGGTGGTAGCAACATTAGCGATAAACTGTTTAAAATTAACTCCATTACAAAAACTAGTTATAATAATAATGTAATTATTATATCTAATATAGTATATACTAACTATACTTTATAATAAATCCAACAACGTTATAAACCCTATGGGCATAGACAACACAGTTACATGCATTATACAGTTAGGTCTGGAAATAATTGGACATGACAGAATTTTCATAATTCTGGCTCTGTATGCCACCACAATTGATTAGAAATTAAACAAGCAAGATGCAATTGAAGTTCAGACGCTCATCTTTAATGGGTTGAACAAAAAGATCATATGAACTACAAACATTTTTACAACAATTTTCATACATGGTCCACTTATTTCGGGGGCTCAAATGTAATTGGACAAATTAACAAAATCATAAATAAAATGTTCATTTTTAATACTTTTTCGAGGATCCTTTGCAGGCAATGACTGCTTGAATCTGGAATGCATGGACATCGCCAAATGCTGGGTTTCCTCCTTTGTGATGCTTTGCCCGGCCTTTACTGCAGTCTCCAGTTGTTGTTGTTTGCCCATGGGTCTTTCTGCCTTAAGTTTTGTCTTCAGCAAGTGAATCCATGCTCGATTGGGTTGAGATCAGGTGATTCACTCGGCCAGTGCAGAATAATCTACTGTATTTGCCGGCGTATAATACGACCCCCTAATTTCTGTGTTAAAATATAGGTTTTGGGCTTTACTCATCGTATAAGACGAGTATAGCCCAAAATAATGTTTAAATGCACCCACTAACATCCATGGCGGTATTCCCGAGTGTGGCTTGGGGTTAATTTTCAGTACCATAAGTGTTAACCCCGAGCCACACTCGGGATTACAGTCTCTTACCTTGTCCGCGATCCCCGCTGTGTCCTCCGTCCTCGCAAGCGTCAGCATCGCAGGGGGGCGGAACCGGCGGCAATTGTAAAAGTAAAAAAAAAAAATAGAACAAAAAAATAAAATCATCAGACCGCCAAGGAGGCTAATCTGTCAGCCCGCTGGATGTGTGGTAATACTGTATGTACGGTAGCTTCGGCTACATACAGTATACCGTATTCATTAATACAAAGTCTGCCGTGATTGGCTCAGCGCGGCATACTGTATGTAGCCGAAGCTACATGCAGTATATAGTATACCACATCCATACCCGGCGTATAAGACGACCCCCGATTTTCGTTTTTCAGTCTCAAAACCCGTCTTATACGCCGGCAAATACGGTACTTGTTTGCCTTAAAATAAAAAATAAAAACTCCTGGGTTACTTTTGCAGTATTTTTTGGGTCATTGTCTGTATCTGTAAAGTAAATTGCTGTCCAATCAACTTCACTGAATCTGGGCAGACAATAAATCCCTATAGACTTCAGAATTCATCTGACTGCTTGTCTTCTATCACATCATTAATAAAAACATGTGACCCAGTGCCTTTGGAAGCCATGCATGCCCATGCCATCACGCTGCCCCCACTGTGTTTTACAGATGATGGTGATCCCTCTGTATTTGCTCTCATAAAGTCTTTTTATGGCAGACTTGGATAATGCTATACCTACCTCCTGGAGAGTGTCCGAGTGTTCTTCACTTGGCGGCATATTGTGAAGGTGTTTTTCTTTTACCATGGATAGGATCCTACAGTCAACCACCACTGTTTTTCTTAGACGTTTACGCTTTTCTGTTGAAGGGCTCACCAGTGCTTTCTTCTTGTTTTTTTTTTTTTTTCTCAGAATGTACCAGATTGGGCCACTCCTAATGTTTCTGTTATCTCAGTGATGCATTCCTTTTTTTTTTTACAGCCTAAAGTGCCCATACACTGTACGATTATCGTACGATAGTCGCAAACTGTATGGAAGGCGTGCGACCGTTTCTACCGTATGGTCGCACATTATCCATCGAACAAGCAGGCTTGAAAACCCGAAGAGAATCGTACTATTCTCGGCGGGTTAGTGGCCTGCTTGTTCGACAACTGCCGAACGGGCCAGTGTGTGCACGTGCACACTGCCCATTTGCAGTGATCAGAAGCCCGCCCCTCATTGCGGTCATTGGAAGCCCGCCCCTCAGCAGGGCGGGCTTTCGATGATCGCAAGTACAATCTGCCTGTCCAAGATGGGCAGATCGTACAAGCTTTTAATAAGCCAAAATTAAAGCCACTCTAGACAAAACAAAAACAGGTTTTGTAGACTGGACTGTATATTTGGTTGTTGGAGTTGGAGTAAGAACCACACGTATCGGATTAAAGCTGCATTGTTGCTGGCTCCTGTGTCCAGGTTCAGCATACATATGCAAATCAAAGTCAGAATGGTATGCTGGTGCCATCCCCATTATGTGATATCTATGGAAATGAAAATCTCTAGTTCTGCAATTGGTTAGTATTTCTTTCCTATTAAAGACATTTTCTTTTTTCTTCATTTCAATAAAGAAAAGATACACATTTATATGGACAAGAAAGAAGCGCTACAGGTTGTAAAAATGCTGAAGGGGTCTCGGTTCAAGGCTTTCCATTCCAGAGATGATGCTGAAAAATTTGCTAATGGAATATGTGACTACTATTCTTCTCCCAGCAAATCTTTACTGCCCTTATCCCCTGTGAAGATTTCTTCACCTCTTCTTAGAGGTAAGTAATTCAGAAATGTACCTATACCACTAGTATTTTGATAGCTTGCTATTCCCCTGGTCACCACCATACTATGCTCTCTGTAGCTCCATGCTGTAGTGGGCGGAGCAAAGCATCATTCTTGCAAGCTACAAGTTCAAACCCCCCCAAGCTTGGTTCCCAGTCAGCCCTGCAAGGTCTGGTGCTCGAAGTCCACTGAACCCCCAGGCAAACTTCCTCTTCATGAAGGTTCCCCCACATTTCAAAGTGAAGGACCAGTAGTTCTTTGCAGACTCTTTGGGCAGCTTACATCTCAGATGCTTGGGTGAGGGAGGTGGTTTCTAGGGCCTACAAGCTAAAGTTTCATTCCCACCCTCTCCTCAGTTTATTACCTCCAGGCTTTCTGAGTCACTGCACATATTAGCAATCTCCATACATCCCTCTGGGGCTTCTGGATGACGGTGTCAGTGCTTCAGTCCCCATGGCAGAACAGTTTTAGAGGTTCCAGCCTAAAAAGGTGCATCTGCCCCATCTTTAATGTCAAAGCACTTAAATGTCTTAATTTAAGCTCAGAAATTCTGCATGTAAACCACCAGGTCTGTCAATCTTTCTTCACCAGGGTGGCCTCCTGACTTCTGTGAATCTCTGAGATGCATTCCTCTCTCCTCACAGCACTTTCTACGCTTTGCTGTGGGTCCCCTGCTCTTTCAGTTTGTGGCCCCACCACTTTGCATCCTGTCCGCACCTATGGTGTTCACCGAGGTGCTGGCCCCAGCCCTAGCCCTGCTGTGCTCTTATGGAATCCCTATTGTGGGGTATTTAGACTACCTCTTGTTTAGGGAACAGTCAGTGGAGGGTCTTTCAGACATTGTAGCCTTGACTGTCCAGACGTTACTGTCGAGACATTACAACATTTCTGATGGATCCTGAACCTTTATAATTCGGTGTGGTAACAGACTCCTAATTTAAAGTATCTGGGTCTGGTCCTAGACACAGCTCAGGCCAAAGTATTTTTTAATTAGGAGAAACTTCAAACTTTGCAATCCCAGACTCATGCTCTCAAGTCTAGGAGCTGTCAGACCCTAAGCATTTTGTATGTCCTGGGTCTGATTCTCGAGACTGTCACATTTGCCCAGTTTCACTCTTGACCTCTACAACACAATATTCTGTCGTCATTTAACCAAGCTAGTCCTGTCCTTAAAGTCATTAAGACAGCTCTTTAAGCTGCAGACAGACCCAATTTCTGTGTTTAACTCTGGCCAGTTGGTGTTTTCCTGTGTTGCCCACATCTCTGTTGTACTGCTTTTGGATGTCCATAAAGTAAATTACTTTGTGCTCTTCTTCAATAGACGAGAAAGAAAATAGAATTTTTGAAGACACCTTAAAATCCTTTCCCTGTAGTTCATTGAGAGACATAGGTTCCACCCCACCCCTGTGTTTTATACTACTCTCCGTACTGCTTTCTTCAAAATTGAAGCATGGTGGTGGTAGTTTGGGTTTATCCTGTCCTGGCCTACAGTTGTTCCTGCATCCTTCAATACACCCCATGAAAAGGATTTTGCGTTGAGTACAAATGTATTGTGTCTTCGGTAATATCTAGATGCATACTCAACTGCAGAAACAGACTGTCTCAGCAAGGAGAAGGCAAACAGCTTCAAGAGTCCAAGAACTCAAGATTTGACAGCAAAATTAAGGAAAGCTGTGGAAAAGGGAGATTCAAGCACATTTGCGGAGCTAATTTGGAGCAATCCTCGTTATCTTATTGGATCAGGAGACAACCCAACTGTGGTTCAGGTAGGATTGTTCACAAATGCTCTTGCCATGATCCTAAGATACTATAGACTGATCTAATAAAATATGATAAAGGATGCGCATAGGTCCTAACTTTTGTAAACTTTTCCACATGTATTGCCGTTTTATTTGAGAAAATCTTGATATGTTTCTTCATTAAAGTTTTTGTTTTTTTGTGTGTTTTCTTTGTCCTTTTTAAGCATGTTACTGCTGTGGTATTATGTACTGCCTTGCATTATCTGATTTAGAACTCCATCACTATGATTAAACTCAAAGCAGTTTTCTAACTCCTAATTGGTGGCAGCATCAGCATCCGAGACTATGCGTACTCTCCACACCCATCTTTGTGTGTTTTTTTTTTAGGACCTTTGGCAACTTCTGTGCTACTCTACCCATTCTGCCCCAGCTGTATTGTGCCCTGCCACCTCTCAACCTGTTACTGCACTCTTGTAGCCCATCCTTGTGCCTTCTCCTCTCTTCCCTATGTATGCAGTGTAGCTTTTCTCTCTCTTCTGCTGTCCTTTCTGAATTGTCTATCTTTATATGCTCCTTGTTCTGATACCCACATTCGTTTGTATACTTGCACTCTTTTAATGTACATTTTGCCCAACTTTTAAATCTGCTGCAATCATTCCTGGTCTCCTTCCTTGTTCCTTACAGACTCTCATTTAGACTCATCTATCAAATGTTTGCTCACTGGTTCCCCCCTCCTGTACGAGTTTTGCATTTAGATATACTTTTAAGTATGAGCGATTTTTGTTTTGTTTGTGTGCAAGTTTTTTCCTTAGAGGTGTACCGAAATGGAAATTTCTAAACCGAAATAAAAAAATGTCAGGTCGAAACCAAAAATGTTTATTTACTTTTTTTTCCAAATTTTAAAAAATATTTTATTTTTTATAAACTTTATTTTATATTTTTTATTATTTTTATTTTTTACTTTACTTGTAGGGGCTTCGGTGGAAATATTAGGGGTCTAAACAGGCTCCTGATATTTCCCTTTTTAAAATAGAAAAAGAGATTGTGGACACTGAGTCCTCAATCTCTTTTTCTGCAGCCCCTGTTATCAATGAACATGAATCCTCTGAGTTTTCCTGTCCATTCATAACTTGTGGTGATAGTATATTTACTATAACCACAATCATGAACACGAGGTTATGTAGATCACCTCCCATTCATTCATAATTGAGGATACAGTAACCATACTATGTCCTCAATTATTTACAAACACTGCATCCCTACTTAAAAGCATTGATTGGGTTACCCTACAGTTTGCTTTGTGCCAATATGCTGCTCTCATATGTTGCATATTTAGCTTTTTTTTCTTTGCTCTAAGGGCACCTTTTTAAAAGAGGATCATGATTTTCTGTCTTGCTCTGTTGTAAAATAGTGCCAAGAACAGTATAGTGATTTTATCTCATAGCAAGTACTTCTTTTCTTAGAACTTTTGCAGTAAGTTTGGTCATGTTTATGAACGGTGATCTGTGATTTGTTGATGGATATCTATACCTTTCTGTTATCTTCATGTTACTAAAGTCTTATATGTAACGTGTTCCTTGAATTTACTTTAGTTTTACATTCTACAGGAAGGATGCCGATACAATGTTATGCATGTAGCTGCCAGAGAGAATCAGGCTGGGATCAGCCAGCTATTACTTAATACTTTGGAGAACCCCGAATTTATGAGGCTTATGTATCCTGATGATGATGATAGTATGCTTCAGAAACGAATTCAGTATATCGTTGACTTGTATCTTAACACACCAGATAAAATGGTAAATGATCATACTAATAGCTTGGGTTTCTTTAGCAAAGTTCCTCTATATACGTTTAAACATTTTTAGAATGTTTTATATATGCATATATTTTTGTTTCCTTTTAGGCTTTTGACACTCCTTTGCATTTTGCTTGCAAATTTGGGAATGTAGAGGTAGTCAATATGCTGTGTTCACATCCTGACATTATAAAAAATCCCAGGAACAAGTATAATCAGATTCCAGAAGAGGTAAGTATTGGTCTTCTGTTCTTGATACCCGTGGTGTTCTAAAATTGCTGTAAACTGAAATATTACAGGTCCAGAGATGGTCTTGTATGGCATACATACAAGTATTAAAATAGTTTCAGTAGCTTGGCATGGTTTACTTTTTGCCAAGTTTTGCTGCAGTAATTAATGGTTTATAGCCAACTACATTGTGTGCTATATTATCACATATGTTAGCTAAAGTATAGCATTTTACACTGCTTTAAAGTAAGGTCCTTATAGGTGAGGCACTTTGATTACCTGTAGGGAAGTTCTTGTCTACATTGTCCATAAAGGTCTGCCTGTTCAAATTTTTAAACAGGGTTTCAGAAAATAACTTGCACTATTTAGTTTTAGAACTTCGTATATTCCTATTCTAACAGTTTTTAATATTTAGTAAATGGCTTTCTATTTTACATCCTGATATTTACCACTTATTCGCTGATTTATTTGTAGTATTCAAATATGATAAGTTAAATAAATCAGTCTGACAGTAATTCTTAACATATCGCTAACGTTTTCATGTGTGCACACAGGTAATATGTGAAAGAAGCAAAAATAAATCTATGGAGCTGAAAATAAAGATTAGAGAATGTCTAAAAGGTACACGTACAATTTTTATTTGTATGTGTGTTGTTCTGGATCAGCCTCTGTCTGCCTTCTTGCCTTTACACTACTTGCAGCTATTTAAAAAATCCCAGATAAACTTTTTAGTTTGAGGCATCATAATTGTGTACATTACCTTTCCTGTCCCCCTTACAAAATCTTAGCTCTTTATATGAGACTACATGTCAGTGGAATGTGTGTAGGGTATAATCTTTATTAGGTGATGATACCAAGTATTTGGACTCGTACTCGCCCAAATGCTCCAAAACTTATCCCGATACTGGACCTTTCGGTCAGAGAGAGAGGGAGAAGCGAGGGAACGTAGAGCCAGCTTCTGGGCCCCGGGTAATGACTGGCGGCCTGGCTTCCTGATTGGCCGGGAAGTTGGTACAAGCCGTACACTGGCTGGTGGGAAATCATAGCTGTGTGTGGGGTTCGCGAGAGGTGCTGTTGGTAAATTCAACTTTTCACATTTTGTGATAAAGTGAACTTACATTTTAAGTTTGTGTCTCCCTTTGAGAGCATGCAGCTAACATTGCATAACTAAAGGCTCTCAATCTCCGCTATCACTTATGGGTTGAGTTCCTACTATTTATCCGTTAATGATCAGAGTGGTGTCTGATAATGTATTCACTATCCTCTATTAGCAGCAGTCACATGCAAACTAGAGGCTTCATTGGGAAAAAAGCCTGCCACACTGCCAACTTCAGGCTGCAGTGACATCTGTTAAATGTAATTTTCAGATTTGGGAAAAAGGAAAATTTATTGGGGGGAGTTGATCAAAATCTGGAGCAGTTGCCTATGGCAGCCAATTAGCATCTCTCTTCAGTCTGCTCAGTAAAGATGTGAAAATGAGAGCGAGAAGCTGATTGGTTGCAATGCAAATCTGCTCCAGATTTTGTCTCTCCCAGTTTTGATAAATTTCCTCTCTTTTTGTCAACCTATAATCAAAAGGATGATTATTACGACAGAGTACCAAATAAAAGCCTATAATGTCGTTTAAAAAAAAAAAAAAAAATTTGAAGTTTTGCAAAGTAGTCAGTCATCACATATAAAGAAGTATTTAACTTCAGTATTTAAAAGTTAACTCTTGCAGTGGGACTACCCCTGCACTGCAAGGGTTAATTGCTTGTTTTTTTTACTAGGGTGCTCACCTGTCTCCCCCCTCTGCTGTGGCATGTCTCTCTGCGTCCTCTTGTTTAATGCAGGTGAATGGTGGGGCTTAGAATGCAGGAGTCTGGGGGAGAAAAGGCTTTGGGGAACTGGTCCTAGCAGCCAGGCGCTTGATGATTAGGGGAGTAGATTTTTATTTGCTACCCTAGACCAGGGGTCCTTACATGGCGAACCACGGTTCAGATCCAGTCCGCGATTGCTCACTAGGTTATGGCTGGCTGACAGTAGGCGCATCCACAGCCAGCCATAACCCATTGCAGGCCCCCATTCCTCCTCAGTCATTAGCTGCTAAGACCACAGCGTCCCTAGCAACTGACATCAGTTTTGTTCCCCGCCCAGCTTTAAGAGAGGACAGAAGAGTATAGTCTTCGGTCTCCCTTGCAGCCCAAAGTCTGCCCCGCCTCCCGGCTCTTCTCATCCCCTCTCGGGAACCGACTCACTGCTCCTTGGACTCCAGGATTAATCGGCAGCATTTTAATGGGGCATTCCTGGGACCAATTGTAGGGACAATGGCACCCTGACGGGGGCACCTGATGGATGGTTACACCTTATGTAAGGGAGGCACCCTGACTGGGACACCTGATGACATTTCAATTATTTTCTAACAAAAATTGTTTAAAAAGTGTGATGCATTGGGATCTGAGAATCAGTACTGTGCCTGGAAACACAAGCAGCTGAGCGTTGCAATGCAGCTGCTGTTGTAATTGCAGCCTAAATGGCGGACTGTGGTGCAGATGCTGAGTGACTGTTCTGTCCAGACCGCGATTCGGACCTCGGCTCAAAGAACCTTTTAATTCACTGCCCCTATAGTGAATTCCAGTCTGCAGGGGTTAACTTTTTAGATTCCTGGAGTTCCTCTTTATCTGATGCTAAATCAATTACCTCTAATTATGAAAGGGTTAAAATGCTTTGAGTGAAACCATTTTAGGCATAGGGGTGTATGTACTGTTGTATTTATATTCATGTCATGCTTTACAAAGAACTTTGCATTTGCTAATTTGTTAAAATTTTACTTGCAGGACATTTTTATGTACCTCTTCTTCGTGCAGAGGATAACTCCTCATTCCCAATTATTGGAGTTCCCTGGTCACCGGAACAGCCTGATTTCTCTCAGTCCAAATACTCTGTCAGTCCTAAAGATCCTTTACTAGCAGTCAGAGCATTTGCTGGACCAATGAGTCCCTCAAAGGTGAGTGGCAAAAAAAAAAAATGTGGTCGTACTGACAAAATGTAGAGCATGTCTAGAGTCTTTATAGCAGGTAAGCAAAGTGTGACTTTTTTTTTTCTCTTTTTTTTGTAGGCTGAGGACTTTAGGAGAATTTGGAAGACTCCACCACGGGAAAGGGCTGGATTTTTTCACAATGTCAGAAAGACTGATCCAGAAAGAGGCGAGGAAAGAGTAGGGAGGTAAAAGTCTGACTTGTACAATTGTAAATAATTTGTGTTTAACCTAAAATTATAGATTTACTCTTTGGGCCCATTCAGACCTGTTTGCTCCAGTACTTTGCATTGATGCATGTGCATTGCGTAAAGGCAGCCCACTCATTTGGATGGGTTGCCAGGGCACCCGAACAGACCAGCACCATATTTCCTACGCAACGCACCACATCATGTGGGGGGGGGGGGGGGGTTATGCATTGCAATTTGTGTAGCCTTGCAGCAGTGAGGTGCATTTGATGATGCATGGCACCGTGATGCCCTAATGAGTATTTGATGTGTTGTACTATGCATGTTGCTGCATCGTAGTGGGCAAGAGTGACTCAAGACACTGAGTGTGGGGTTACTGACAGCTGTTGGTGCATACCTCTTAGGGCCAGAAAATCCTGCTGCAGTGCTGCCTGAAACCCTCATGGGAAAAAGTGTGCATATGTTTTACTGTGAGGAACTTGAGACAATATATGGACACTTGTGGTCTATTTTACAATCGACTTGTTTGACACTCTATCAGATTTTTATTAATGATGCCAATGTGCACCGATCAGCCATAACGTTATGACCACTGACCGGTGAAGTCCATAACATTGATCATCTTATTACAATGGTACCTGGAAGTGGATGGGATATATTAGGCAGCAAGTGAACATTTTGTCCCTAAAGTTGATGTGTTGGAAGCCGGAAAAATAGGCAAGCTTAAGGATTTGAGCAACTTTGACCAGGGCCAAATTTTGATGGCTAATTGACTGGGCCAGATCAACTCCAAAACTGCAGCTCTTGTGGGATGTTCCCAGCCTGCAATGGTCAGGACTTGCCAAAACTGGTTCAAGGAGGGAAAACTGGTGAGCTGGCGACAGGACCATGGCTGGTCAAGGCTCATTGATGCACGTGGGGAGTGAAGGCTGGCCCATGTAGTCCGATCCAATAGAAGAACTACTGTAGCTCACATTGCTGAGTAATGTAATGTTGGTTCGGATAGAAAGGTGCCTGAACACACAGTGCATCACAGTTTGCATATGGGGGGCTGCGTTGCCACAGATAAGTCAGGGTGCTCTTGCTGACCTGTGTCCACCACCAAAAGTGCCTACAAAGTGAACTAACATCAGAACTGGACCATGGTCTGGATGGCTGGGTGCACGTGTGTCACTTAGCTGGGGAAAAGATGGCACCAGAATGGGGAGAAGGCAAGCGGACAGAGTCTTTGAGTGATGTTCGTCTGGGAAACTTTGGATCTTGCAAATCATGTGGATGACACCTACCTACCTAAACATTGTTGCTGACCTAGTATACTCCTTCATGGAAATTGGTACTTCCTGATGGCAGTGGCCTCTTTCAGCAGGATAATGCACCCTGCCACACTGCAACTATTGTTTGAGGAACACAACAATGAATTCAAGGTGTTGATGTGGTCCCCAGATTCTCCAGATCTTAATCCATTCGAGCATCTGTGGGATGTGCTGGAAAAACAAGTCTGATCCATTTGAGGCCCCAACTTGCAGGGCTTAAAATATCTGCTATGGATGGCTTGGTGCCAGGTACCACAGCATACCTTCATAGGTCTAGAGAAGTCAATGGCTTAGGGCTGTTTCCTGGCAAAACGGGGACCTACTCAATATTAGTCATGTGGTCATAATGTTATGGCAGATTGCTGTAGTTGCTGATTCACTGTGCTTGCATGCCCAAACAATTACTGTACAGCATAGTGGGTAATTATGTTACATTTCAACAAATACATAAAGACAACATAAATTAGGCTTAAGGGCTAGTTCACACCATAACTGCGTGAGTCAGCCCTAGCTGCAGTGCGATGCGTTTTTACTGCTTTTTTTTTTTTTTTTAGTTAGG